AATCTTTGCAAACCAAGATGTTGCCAGCATGCCTGTCTGCATTTGCTAACCTAATATCCAGAACACAAATCTTGTGTACTTCATCCACAGGATAATTACGGGGCCCCATGTCCTCACAACTGCCGCAGTTCTCCATGAACAATTGGAGTGATCCAACCTTAGTATTCTTATAGGATGGGTGAAAGCCCTCAGAATAATTGAATGCTTCATGTTGACACTTGACAATCACAGTTGGGGGAACGCCAGCAAAGCCTTTCTCATTCTTAAGATACGAGCACTGTCCACCCTTTGGATGATCCAAGATGTATGCTGCAACTTCCCTTACAGCCCCTTCACCAACTCGTGTCCCTTTTTTCAACCCTTCACCATTGACGGACAAGGGAACCCCTCTAGGGTTGTTTACAGCCATGGGTTCCTCATCAACTGGCTTAAATACAGAAATATACTTCTGACCAGATGAATCTTGCATGAAATAAACACCCCCTGACCCCTCAGACGACATAATCGGTGGATTACCCTTCTCCAGTCCATGGTAAGTGGCATCAACAAGTTGCTTAATCACAGATGATAGCCTAATATTTGGATTGACTACTAGTGGTTCCAAAAAGAATTCTTTCTCCAAAGGCCTTATGGCAGCAACTGGAAGTTTCTCAACTAATGATTCCACCTCAGAACTTCTCTCATCTACTGAGTCAGCCCTCCTACTCTTATCTACTTCTGATGCAACAATCGAGACTTCAAAATCTTTTCCAACAGGCTTAGCTCTAACTTTTGCTGACTTACGGACAAGCAAGTGTATTACTGCTTCATTGGTCTTACAAATATCATCAATGAGCCTCTGATCTTCTAGTTCCTCACCATCACATACTAACTCCTGATCCTTGAGATCGAGAAATTCATTCCCGCTTCTAGCAATCTGCTGTTTCACATAGCCCACATTTCTCTTTCGTCCAACATGGAACTCAAACTCTTTCCCACAAACAGTTCTAACAGTAATCGCCTGGAGATCTGATAGCCTAAGGACCAAATGCAACACATTCCCATCAGTGACCCCATAGTCCTGAACACGGGAATTATTCCGCGATAATTCTTTCCCATCAAAAACAAGTTTCTGATTCTTCACAAAAAATCCCTTACGGTTCTGTATCCTGAGCTTTACAGAAGCAATAGAATCAGACCCCATTACCTGCATAGGTATCACAGACCCTCCAATTGCAAGGAAAATTACGATGGATTCATTTGAAAAAGCCCCATTTCTACCCAAGACATGACCAGGAAAGTTCCAATAATCTTCATAAACAGGAGTAAGAGCCACACTGGCAATCGACATTGCAGCTCCAATAGATAATCCTCCCCTGTATATCAAGCGGTAAAGTTCTCAATTTTTTAAGAGCCCACCACAACAATCACGAAGTTTGGTTCTTCAACAGCCTAATTAGTCAACCACTTGACAAAACCATACAACACGCTAAAATTCCAGAAACCTATCAATCCACAAACAACAATTTATCACGTCAGAACCAAGAACCCAAGAATATTCACAAATCAAGAACCCAAAATTTAGCCTGAAGGGACCGAGTACAAGGAAATGAGGCAGAACCCTTACATCGATAGTAGTAAACAAAGCACAAGGATTTGTAATATTGTGGTGCTATGACCTGAAACTCAATTGCACCGCCCTTCAACACATTCTCAACCTGCAAGATACACCATCACCAAAAGCAAAAGCTTTTTCCACTAAGAAGGCAGAAAGTTTTTGCCTTTTCAGGATTCCCGGGTACCAATTATGGTCTAAACAAGAAAAACCAACCGAAGTTAAACGTGGTACATCTTGACTTCAACAATGTCTAATAGGGCAGGAAAAAATTTGAACTTCTTATCGGGAAGAGGCAAAAGGAAAGTTCAAAGGTGAGCGTGGCAAATTGCAGAACAAATTGTAATTAAAATTGAAGGGAAATTATCAAAGGATCTATCCAAAACCCATAATATTTTCTTCTCCAATATCCATGATCACCTCCTGCATTTTTTTTTTTTTTTGGTTCAAGAGGATTTTTTTTCCCCCCGTTTCTTGCTCTGCACTTACTTTGCAGGAGGAGATTTTTTTACCGGGGGCACAGACAGGGAGTGTAATGAGTGAAAATTTTTACTACCATTTGCATTGGGGGCTAATTTGGATTAACCAGCACAGCTGGGTGGATGTAGCCATAGTGTTGCTGGAGGCCCCACGGAAATGATGGCACGTAAGCACTTTCACCGCAAGTATCGGGGGACCTTACTACCATGTTCTAGAACTTTGCATAGATTTGAAAAGAGGTTAAAAAATAATTAAAAAAAAAGTTCTTCCTCTTTTTATTTTTTTGTTTTCTTTAAGGGATAATATCAGAGACCTCCCTTGAGCTTTATCCTAATATCACTTTGCGCCCTTGAAATTTTAAAAATAATCACTTACCTCCCCTAATAATTGCAAAAGACTATACTAACCCTCAATTAATATATAATTCACATATCAAATAAATGGAGGTCAAAATTAAATAAAAAAGAAACAAATGTCACTTTTTTCTTTTTCTATTTCCTCCAATTTTTTGTCTTACTCATTTTTTGGATGATTATGTGATTTTTTATTTGTAAATTATAATAAATTAAATTTTGTTTATTTTTAACTTTTTTGTAATTGTGATAGAGTGTAGTATCATTTCTTTGTTTATTTTAGGTTGACTTTTATAATGATCAGTATAATTTAAAAGGTTTTGGCAATGATTAAGAAGAAGTTGGAAAAAATATAAAGTTTATAAGAAATCGATTTTGAACATATACAGTTAAATTAATCAAGTGTATTTCTTCGCAAATACCTTTTTTATTTTTTAAATACATATTTTTATGGACTATAGCATTATGATGTGGTAGTACTATTAGATATTATTTTTTTTAAATGATAGTTTTCTTGAAATAAACAAAATGATTTAAGTGTATTTTTATTTAACAAGTAGAAGGGTAGTTTAGATTGTTAAAAAAAAGAATTTCACAAATAACAAAAATAAGGGAAGTAAGTGATATATTTAAAACCTTAATGATGCCAAATGATAATACGAGAAATTTCAAGGGAGGTTTCTGATATTATCCCCTTTTTAACCCTTCTCTCTTTGATTTTATTTTAATTTTAAATGAGACAAGAACAATTTCTTTCCTAAAGTTGAACAAAGAAAAATAACCAAAGAAGATGAAATAAACGTCATCATTAGATCTTGTTTTGCATAACTTTCTTTGATGAATCAATAAAAGATGTAGAATTTATATTGGACTTAATAGTAGTGGAGAGCTCGAACTTAATACATTTGGAATACATGTCCTGATGTGAAAAATGCAATACTTGAATTACTCCTTGGGTGCAGTGAAATTGCATTTTTAGTTGGCAATTGGAATGACTGCACAACTGTAGCCTCGATCCAAGAGGAGTAGCATCTGTATCATTGATTGGGAACAAAGGCAACAGAAAGCACGTTTCCGCTCAGTTATGTGTCTAAAGAACAGAAGGAAAGTTTTATTATGGCAAAGCGCAATTCAGATTTGGTAGATCCCAGCATCCGCCCCTTCCTTTAGTGCCGGCGGCAAGCCTGTCCTTCTTCTATTCTCTTTCATCCGGCATCGGTAAGAATTATTTTTCCCAAAGATCCCTTACCAGGCTTCTCAATCAAGTTTGGGATAATTTCAAAAATCCCCCTTGTGGTTTATAACAATTTTACTTATCTCTCTCAAATTTTTAAAATTTATACTTACCTCCCTTAATTTGATACTTTTAATAATCAAACCTTAAAATAGGATAAAAACTTAAATGAATATCTTAAGATGCTCTTATTTTAAAAAGTTTAATTTGTTCTTCTAAACCATTATAAAGTAATTTGGGACAATTATAAAAGAAATGATAAAATACAGAAAACTCTTTTGTGATTTTATCAAAGGTCACGAAACCCCCTTATTATTTAAAAACACCCAAATAGCCTTCTTTGTATTTTGGACTAATATAGGAAGTGGACGAAAACCTTCTTTATTAACGGAGAACTGTGAAATTTCAACTCTACCCTTAATTTAAAATACCAAAAATCAATTGGGGGCATCAATTTTAGTTTTTGGGGCCTCAATTTCTACCCTTAATTTAAAATATAAAAAAATTGAATAAGAAGGTTTGGGGGGGGGGAGGAAAGGGGAATATGAAACCCATCTTATGGATAAGAAGTGCAAATAAGGGAGCTTTATTAGAATATTAAGGTTAGCATTATCATTTTAAATGAACAAGGAAGATATGCATAATTTTTAAAATTTTAGGGGTGCTAAGTGAAATTGTCAAAAATTTGAGGTTTCTAAATTTGTCCCATTAAGTTTTAAACCCTACTTGATAACCCAATTCAGCACTTAAATTTAATAGATTCAGATCCTAACATATTCAGACCGTTTGATAACCAAAAATTGAACATCTGAATTAATTAAGTAGCATTGAATTTCCTAGACAAAACTTGCTCCGAAAATTAAGTGATAAACTATTTACTTATCACTAAATGTGATATACACTCAAATATATTAAATTTAATACTTACAATTTAATAATTTAATGACTTCAGATTTCATATTTCAATTTTTAGTTTTATCAAACGCACCCTTAGAGTTTTAACTTGGCCAAGAAGAATGGTACAATCTTTCCACGAGAAGAATGGTACAATCCTTCCCACTATTTTAAAAGAAATGGGGGAGAGTAATTAGCCAGACGAGATATTAATTGACATTGAATTTCCGGAGACCTATCCACATGTATTTCAAAGTACAAAGTCTGATTAGGTGATTTGTCTACTAGTACACAAATCTATTTGTAACCAGCAGTGCAAATACCAGTGCTTAGTTCGACATTTTATTTATGCCTCTGAATTTGATTTGCTGAAATGTTCTGTGAGCCACATGCCCCAGGCCAATGTATTGGCATTAGCCAAAACACATTAGAAGAAAAACAATCATACAAAAGAAAAGAATAAACTGCAATGTTATTCCGGTGTCTCTCAACAAATGCAGAGTTTACTCGTAAATTTTGTACACGAGCACGTATGGTACATGGGAGCCAATACAAAGCTCAATTACAAGTTCTGGGTATTGGACACAGCTAAAATTGTTCAGCGAATCAAAAGAAGAAAAAAAGGCCTTTTTTTCCTTTATTGCCAGAGAATCCCGAAAAGGGGATGGAAAAAGAACGGGAAGAGATGAAAGTATGAAACTGAGACTACAAGAGTTTCTCAACCTGATGAGGGACAGAACCAACTGGAACAATGAATCACAACTGGCTCATTCATCACAAATTCCTCTCAATGAAATCCCATATCCTCTCTTCCATATATATACGGTCCCTATGCCGGCGGGGCATGTGCCGCTCGTCAGGAAATATCAACAACTCATAAGGCTTACCAGCAGCCACCAACGCATTTACAAGCCTTGCAGTGTGCCTAAAATGCACATTTTCATCAATCATACCATGCACGAGCAGCAACTTCCCCTTGATTTTCTCCACATGCTGCATCACAGAGCTATACAAATAACCTGACGGATTTTCAGCGGGCAAACCCATGTACTTTTCAGTGTAAAATGTATCATACCGATCCCATGATGTTACTGGGGCACCAGAAACAGCACACCGAAATAATTCAGGAAACCTTGCCAAAGACATAGCTGAGAGGTATCCGCCATAGCTCCATCCGTACAATCCGATATGGCCTTGGTGAGCTAGTCCATTTTTTATTAGCCATTCAGCTCCGCTTAATTGATCTTCAGCATCAATATGGCCACAATTATACTTCAGTGCACCTTCAAATTTGAGTCCCCGTCGAGCAGTTCCTCTGTTATCCATCTGAAAAAGGGAAAGGACTCGAGATCAGAATTAAGCTGTTCCTGTATCTTCTACAATAAACAGCTGGGAATGTTACAATGTCATGGCAAGAAACTAGAAAACAGATAAGTTATTTGTGACATATCTTCTGTGTAGGAATCCCAACCTTTGGGCAGATTCCACAAATTTAAGAAGGCATCTAAACTTGGTACAAATCGTGCACTGATTACAAGTGTAGCACACTTTTGCAAAGTACAATGGGGTGCATAGAAACAAAGAAAATGATTCTTCATCAGATAAATAGTTTGATCTCATCTAAATATCAGCTAACCTTCCATACTAGGATGCCTTTGCTTCTAAGGTACTGAGCCCTCATGTCTACAGTGTTCACCCAGGAATCACAGACTAGCTGTATGCTGGGACCACCATAGACTTGAATCATAGTTTTATATGGTGGTGGTCCAAATCTTGAAGGATCAGGCTTGTATAGCACCCCATATAAAGCAGTCCCATCTTTTGCTGGTATCTGAACTATCTGTGGAGGCTCAATCTGGAGCTTTTTGAACCTGGGAATGCTCAGTGGTTGCTCGTACAAAGGCATAACTAAGCTGCCATCATGTAGGGAGCAAAGAGATATTCTTGGAGGTGTATCCAGTGAATCATGAATATCTATGAAACTATGCAGTTGATGGTCAAGGACAACTATATGTTTTCCCTTTTCTCGAGTTAATCTCAATGGGGCCTCCAATGGACAGCTTGCATCTGGAAACAATTTAGCACAATATAGATGAGACTCTAAAGGGCCATCTAAAGTTCCTGTAAAGTATACGAGGCCAGCAGCCTCATTTACTCCAGCAACTTGCTCAACCATCCAATCTCCTTGAGTTATAGGTCCCAAGCAAACTCCATTTGAGTCATGAAGATACAGGTGTCTAAATCCTGTTTTCTCACTCGCCCAAATAAATCCCCCATGGTATTTATTGAGTCCTTTATCCAAAGGGGTGAAGCAATCATGCAGAGTGATCCATGTCTCATGCTCTTCTTCCACAAGTACTTTCCTACAGCCTGTTTTGATGTCAAACCTGAGGATTTTGAGCTTAGAATGCGATCTACTCAAAACCTGAGCAGTAAGAACATTTCCATGCATCCAGTTTACTCTTGCTAAATATTCCTCATCACCATCAGCTTCGACCTTTTCTCCACAGAGAAGATCCATCCACACCACAGGACCTCCAATGACAGAAACCACCCCAAGGCGCACTTTGACATTGGGCCCCCCAGCAAAAGGGTAAGCATGGTCCTCCTGTGCGTCTGAACCAACAGAACTTTTACCTTGGTGCATGATTCTGAAAAGAGGTATCTCAGATGAATCAACCTGTGTAAATGCCAAGAACTTGCTGTCCAGTGACCACCAGTAACCATTCTTTCGTTCCATCTCCTCCTAGAATCAGAAAGATGTGCATTAACCTATTTCTTCTCCCATAATGGGCACTAAACTATTGAAAATCTCAGAAAATCTAAAGAGAGAGAATGAATTATCTCACCTGTGCTATATATTCTGCAAGACCATGCATCTGAAACAACCCAAACGAGAAATGATCATCATATTCATACATCTTAAACATAATTCAGTCCAACAAAAAAGGTCCATGAAATGGACCATAATACAGGCGTAATAAGACAAAACGTTGAAGGCATAACACTTAATTGTTGTTCTTGGCAGATTACTGTCATTAGAATAGACCAACAAGTTTAAATGAGAGCCAAATTTGGCCAAAAAGATCAAATGATGAAAACACGATTCCAAGAGGTCATAAATTGCAAACACAATTGGTGGGCAACCTGCACTGCTAAAATACACTTATTTGTACACTATGATTGGTCAAAATGATCTCTCTAATTTATAGACTTCATATATATCATCATAGGGGCCATCTCAAGTATACCAACAATATTGGACTTTATGCTTACTAGATTGATTCCATCAGCACCGGATGTCAACTGCTTTGAATCGTTGTATAAAAGGTTTAACACATGAAGCTCACTATCTCTGACATATGCAAGCATGGTTCCATCTGGGGAGATGTGTGGATCGATAATTGGAGAAGATGCTACACTTGGAATCTTAAGCTCTGGCTGCAGATGAAAATCCTGGATATATATCTGTGATGGATCAAACAGAAGTAGGTTAGATGCGCACAGGCCCATGTCAGTAGATGAAATGGATTCTTGTATAAATGAACCATTGGAAAGCATTTTTTTTATGCAAGCAAATACTGTAGCACTTTTTTGGGATAATTTCTTAAAAATACTGTAGCACTTTTTGATGTGATGTATGCAAGATAAAAAGGTGATTGAAAAATATATTGATGATGTAAGCAAAAAAACTTTTGAAAAAAAACCAGCGTCCAAGCAAACCCATTATTTACTATACCAAGTGGAAATATAGCGCAGCCATGCAAATGATAGTTCCCAAGTTTTAGCAAGTCAATAATCTGAATAGCTATTAAAAAGACTTAAAATCGTTAGACTTCCTTGGCATCTTATTCCTACAGAAAATTCCAGGTCAAGAAGAGCAAAGAAAACAGAAAATTTTAAGGCAGCATAGTTCCAAAAAGACTGGAAAAGGGGTTCTTTTCGAACACATTTTTGTGCATTTGGAAAGAGCACTCCAGAGCAACTTTGTTAATCTCGTCATGTCCCTCAATGACAAAACGATACATCCTACCACTGGAGAAAAGAAAAACCAAAAAATAAAAATAAAAAAGGAGAAGCTTTTGCTTCAGCATTCCAAAAATAAATAAATAAGAGTAGCTTTCGCTTCAGCATTCACCCATGAGAATGGTCTTATATATGCAAAAGGAAAATAACATGGAGGTAAGGAGACACACCCCAACAGGTAATGGCACCATAACAGCCTTCTTTTTCGAGCTTGTCTTCACCCATTCATAGCGAGTTACCCCCAATCCACGTTCCCTTGACCTCTCCCTCCTCAACTTCTCTTCTGCAGATAAGTTATTCTCATCAAGTCCACCATCTGGAGGACTGAAAAACAATTCTTGCTTGCGGCTTTTCAGATCAAACACAAAGAGATTTCTGTTCAAACTTTGATCAGGACTAAATAAGTATGCCACCAAGCTATCATCAGGACTGAAGCTAACCAATGTTGGAGCTCCAAAACCTGGCAATGGGTATTGGACAATTTCTTCAACAGGAAAAACGAAGCAGTCATCTAATGGTTGTACCGTAGCTGGATCAGTTACTGGCATGTCGAAAGAAAGTGATCTCCGACGTTTCAAAGTCTTCTCCTTTTCATTTGCATCAGTCGATTGCATTAGCAATTAAGTGATCCAAAATTGAACAGTTTACACATCAAACCGTGCAAACTGACAAATCTGCAAGCCATCCAAAGTCAATGGCTTCATTATAGCTTTAGAAAACAAAGTCAATGGCATGCTTTAGTTCAAAAGGAATTGGAAAGTTAATCAGTAATCAATTTAAAAATGTCAAACAATTAATCTGGTTCATGACTATAAAACAAGAGGAAACCCAAAAAAAGAAATTCAAGTGGGTAATTTAGTGAAAGTTAAAAACATTAGCCAAGATTCAATTTCTCCCACTTGGCATACACCTTTGCTATTAAAATTAATTCAAATTCTCCATTTTTTGGCTTTATTTTCTTTTGACAAAAAAGAAAAGCTCGTAAAAGATTCCTCATCTCAATTGAGCAATTATTAGTTGAGGAAAAAAACAACAGACTAAAAAAGAGAAAAAGGCACCGTATCTGCCAATAAGGTTTCGGAAAAAAATAGAAAGTTCGATAACGACTGATATAATCCAGTAAGTGCAGGCAAATATTTCGACTGTTGACTAGCCTGTAAATTTAATCAATCAGCAAAAAGGGTAAAGAGCCCATAAGGGCTATAAACTTTTAGTTCAATCTATCATCCATAAGAAAAAGCCTAAATGTGGAATTGGGATTGGAATCAGACCTGAACCAGAGAAAGATTTGATTTTGATCGGCCCCGTCAGCAGCAAAAGAACAGTAATAACTATGAGATCTCCGTTTCTGTGAGCCGTTTGATTCAGTGTTCTTCCCTCTTCTTCTTCCTTATTACATAATATAACCTCAGAGAACTCAAGACAAAATCGGAGAATCTAATGGACCTAAAGTTCAGATTGTTCGACTTTTTGACGTGGAGCAATTAGAAATCGACGTGAAGAAAGGAGCGGATAAATAAACAAATATATATATATATATATATATTTGGTTCTGTATCAGTTTATGTCCCTGTTCATACAATCAGCCAGTCACGGAAGGGACGAATGCCAAGGGCTTCTAGGGGGATAAAAAGCCTGAGGGGGCTACAAGTGAAATCAAACTAACTTGAAAATATTTCACATATAGTCCTTCACTTCTGCAAATTATCATTTCTAATCTACTCATTCTTGAAAAAGTGCATATTCACCACTTGAACGATCAAAATTGATTTAGTTAATCCTGTATGGATTCCATGTCCGCGGACACTGCTCCCCAAAAAGTAATACGAAGCAAAGTTAAAAGTATGGTTTTGATATGTTCGTTATTTTCCATATTAAGGATATGAAGGTGTATCTTAATGCATACATATCTTTTTTTTTTAATATAATAAAAAAATGTTTATTCTTTTTTTTTTCTTCCTCAAAATATTAACTCTCTACGTCATTTTCTTGACCAAAAATAATGATTGGAAATATGTTGTCGATCCAAATCGGATAACATGTTAATGATCCAATTTGTTATGTCGAATTTTTACTTGACTATAGTAACTCAATTTGTAAATGCCAAGGACCAAAAAAACATTTTACAATATGATCCACTATGTGTCCAATATTACCCCTTAACCCACACTTTTTACAAGATGTAATGTAAAGGCCCGGTAAACCTTCAGATGGCTACTCAAGTAGAATTGTTAATTTTTTCAAAGGAAGTAGTGGAATTACTTTGGGAGTTGGTATATCTATAGATTTGGGGTTCAAATTTTATGTCTAAGAATTGGGAGAAAAGGACGCTCAAAAGGGTATAATATATACATACATATTTACACATGCAGGAATTATGTTGATTTTAAAAGCTACAAACTTTTAAAACTTCAATTTTGTTTTTCAAAATAATAGCATCGGCTTGATTGTGGGGGATAGAGGGTGACTTTTAAACGCTACAGAATTTTGACCATAGTGCAACAGTTTCACCTGTTCGAGAATGGAGGGAAAATGCATATGCAAATTGGACGACTCCACCACCAGAGTTCGTTAGAATCAGTGTAGATGCAGCAACCCTTTCTCTTTTTTTTTCTTGGGTCCATTGGAAGGCCTATTGACCTTGTTACAATGGGACGAAACGAGGGGATGCAACCCAATTTCAACATCTGCAAACATGCAGGTTTCGGGTCCCTTAAGGATAGACGAGCCTGGAGGATCTCTGCTTGGATTGAGTTTAGCCGAAAACCATCTGCACGGTTATTTCCCTCCCTCCAAGCATCATCCAACTTGCATTCCCTGTTTCTGTCTTACTCTGTGGATTAGATTTGCATAAGGACTCTCTCTTTCCCACTGTCATTTATCAGGGATAAGCTCGCTACAGAGTCTTTTTCAGCGACAACGCTCTTCTGCCAGGCTAGTTTCAACTTTCAACCAAGGGATAATGGCCCATAATTCAGCTGCTGAGTTGCTTGCAATGCCCAAATTACAGTAGAAACCACCTTTCCAATTTCCCGTCTCGTCTCTGACTAATCCCCCTGCACCCGCAACTCCTGGATTGTTGGCGGATGCTCCGTTTACTTTCACCTTTACCCAGTCTGTTGTGGCGGTTCCCAACCCAACTGATGTATATCCAGTCCACACTTCTGCTGCAGTTCCCTTTTTGTGAGTTCATCATGGGCTAATTTTGCCTTTCGAAGCGAGTTGGTTGCAGTCTCAGTTTCTGCTCCCCTCCAATCGCATTAAAGCAATTCCTTGTTGTCCATGCGTGATGAACCACTAGCTAAGCTGGTAGAGAAACAAACTCCTCCATGCATTCCAATATTCTTCCTTTTTAAGATTTCAGTCCACCCATTTAACCAGCGGTAGGCTCTTGAACATTTCCCATTTGTTCTCCCTAACATAGTGTTTCCATAGTTGTTCCACCCAAGGACAATCTCTGATTGCATGCAGCGTATCCTCGTACTCTTTCTGGTAAACTGGACATTTCTCATCCCTGGCTATATGGCGCCTCCGCTTTTCCCCATTCGTTGCTAATTTCCCATGCCGAACCATCCACAATAGGCACTATCATCTTCCGGGACCTTTTTGTTTCTAGATCTTGCTCCATCCCTTTTGTCTTCTCCACCATATCGATTTCACACTCCATTTCGTAAGCTGATTTTGTGGAGAACTTGCCTCTTGAGTCCGGACCCCAGCTTAGCGCATCCAGTCCCCTGCTATTAAACAGAAAGCCCTCAGTTTCAGCAGGGTTTCGTGCGGTAAGTAATGTTTTAGTGCTCCCCCAGTTCAATCCCTCAGAATTGCAATGTGATACCGTTTGCCCCCATGGCTTGAATCCAAAGCCAATGATGATTTACGGGTCCTTGCTCAATAATTTAGAGGTGTAGATCATAACCAATTATGTTAACCCGTCCTAACTTTTCCACCGATAACTCGCCCATTAATTTTGAATAGGTCTAAATAGATATCCAATTAGATGCATTTAAAAATAATTAGTGAGCTGACTTGATTTACCAATTTATAGTCATTTAAAAATAATTATACATTTAAACTCAACTTTTAATTAGTGTTAAGCAAATAAATTTAATTTTTTTACTAATCTAACAACAATAAAATACTGTTATTTTTGTCAAATAACATACAAAAAAAAGTAGAATTTTAAATGATTCATTAATGAGTAATTGAATATATCCGGACCACACTCATTTATTTAAGTGGGTATAAATAAGTTGATCTAATTATGACCCGTCCAAACCTGTCTGAGTTATCCTTTTGATGGGTTAACTCGATGGCCCAAATGCCCACTTTGTCATGTTGTGCTGATTGTAGGTTAAGAGGAAGTTATTACTATTGAGCTTGCTGTTAAAAGGTTTAATTTTATTTTTTTCTCTATCTTTTGCCATTATTGAATAGTAGTATATTTTAAGTTTCAAACGCATAGACTATGGAGTAAAACAAATTGGAACTTGGCAGTCAAAAGCATAGTTATCTAGTGTACTAGGGTGTATTTATTTATTTCGATTTCGAGTCTTGTTGAATGGCATTCAATAATCATCAAAACACAAAGTAAGAAGAAGAAGAGCATGAACTAGAAATCAAAACTAGCAAACTTTAAGGTCAAAATTCATATACTCATGTTGGATCAATACTTAAACTTTTCCTATTGTGGACATTACTTTTCATCAAGTGTACATTGGATGATTTGTTAACAAAGACACAAAACTATCGTTTCTTTTCCTACTCTCTTTTTTTTTTTTTTTTGGGTGGCCATAAACAAAAATATTAAATTCAGTAAAGATAAGGTGTGATTGCTGGAATAATATCCGGAATTATTCCCATTTTGGAATTAAATGTGCTATTTTACATTTTGATGTCAAGCTAAAATTAGAAGCACCAATTCCCCATCCTTGACTTCGTACACAGTAAGTATGGTATATGCATATAGGAGTGTGAATATTTAAACATGGATTCTGGTACCATCAAGAAAGCTAAGCTTACATTTTACGGTCTCCGAGCAAGATTTCAGCCGCCTAAAGCCGCTCAGTATATTTTGCACCAGAGAACAAAACACAGTGTCTCCGACCATTATGGACTGGAGTTCTTTACTCAAAAGCCTGGAAAGGCAGAGTTTCTTCTGTACATGCTCTCTTTCCCCCCCTCCCCCTCGCTCTAGGCTTAAAGGGAAAAAAAAGGAAAGAAAAAGGTTCTGTTACGGGGATGTTGCCTACTTCAAGATGGTTTAGCAGCATCTAAAGCTTCTCTCTATATAATTAAGCTGTACTCGAGGTAAAAACCACCATCCTTAGAAACTAATGCACAAACTATATATTGTGCTGCTTAGAACAACTTCTTGCATCCGATAGTTGCAAAGCTTGCATCCTTGCAACAGTTTTTCTTTAAACCTCAACCAACATTTCTGAATCTTCAACTTCAGAGCTTAAAACAAAGCTTGGAAATGCTAACGTGATATCCCTGATCAAACCAAATAACTTAGAAGTTATAATAATCAACAAACTCAATTATCTAAAGTGTATGACAATTTCTACTTATTTTCATTTTAATGGACTTGCTACTTTTTGTGAAAGTGTTTTGTTTCTTTCGAAAAATCTACAGAGAACACCTGAAAACCTTGAATTCTCAATCATATTATGCACGTTCGAATGTATAGCAGTTATATGGACTACTTGCTCAACATGTAAAACATTGAAGTCTCAACAAGCATACTGTTCCTGGCACATGCTGCAGAAGCAGACTGAACAATTTCATAGCCAAGTTAAATTGATTTCAGCAGAAATTGCAAAATTGAAGGAGGAAATTGTGAATGGAACGGGAATGGTTAAACTGTAGATGATCAGCAATCGCTTGAATGTAATACAAGCATTTGATTCACTCATAACACTTACTTCAGATATGGAAGTGTCATGTTCTTCATAAGGGATGGATACCTCGACACAAACTCCTTCCACTCTTCTTGATCAATCCTTCCATCACCTTTGGTATCTGCATCTTTGAATGTCTACAGCAGGATAAGTTTAAAGAAATTTTTGAATCTGATGATGAAGAGACCCAATAGGAAGTGGACAATGTAGCAAGCAGAAATTTTAACCTTATCCACGATCATTTCGACAACATCATCTGAAAGCACGAGATCTGATTCGTGCAGAAGAGCCAGTACCATCTCTTTTAACTGTCAGTTAAAACAACAGGCACAAGACTCATAAAAATTAATTGCTTTCATATTTTCATTCGAGGGACAAAAGTTATATTAGGCTATTTCTTACAGTCACCTTAATTAAGACATGAGATTGGAAAGGATAGTGTACAGAATTGGTTGAAAGCTGTCACAGAAATATGGGGTGACGCATGTATGACTATCCTAGGCAGATGTAGTGAAGGCGGTAATACAGCTTATAAAACAAAGATATGAGAACATAATTCTCAGTGGAAAGATTTACTTCCACGTAAAGCTTTGATGTATCTACAGAGATATTTGAGCATAGCAAGTACATCTGTCCCTGAGAAGAGGGGAATAGGAATTTGAAAGTACAGCGTCATGAATGGTGTTTACTGTTACCTCTTCTCTTTCAATATAACCAGTGTGCCTTAGATCATACAACCTGAATGCAACTGCCAAAAGAGAAAAAGTTTTGCACAAGATAAATGAGCCAAGTCAATGAATATCTTACGCCAGAACCATAATATGAACTAAAACTGAAGGCTGAGGCTGCTTGGAGTAACTGTGCATATGACAAAACTAGTTATTACATGCAATTTTGTCAGCCATAGGTGCATTTGGATGAAACACGCCCAGAGATCGGACAAATTCACCAAATTCAATTACTCCATTGCGTTTTAGATCAAACAGATCAAATACCTGCATGATAATGTGCCAAAGATTCAGCAAGGATACCACTAATTGCAGATTTATCTTTACACATATTATAGCAACATGTAGAACCCATCACCAAGCAGCAGCATGGTTGAACCACATCCAATGTAATAGCAGCAGCCAAAATTGTGCAACAAAACCAAGACATCAATAATTTGTCATCAATTTCAGCAGCAATTACCAAAACAGAAGTCTAAATACGTACCCTGTCTGCAAATAAATTCCTCCTGTTTCTGTTCCTGAACAGAGCAAGCTGAAACTCTTCCTGATAATCAAATTCCATGTAAAAGGATTTCATTAGAAGGAGACATTCTAGCCTCACTGCTATCATGAATTCAGTATCTTATATGACAAAGATAAATTATTCGGAAACAAATGATATATGTTGTAAATTGACAGGTAAGCTGGTGAGATTACCTTGTGGATAAGCCCGTCATCAATTATGGAGCTGCTAATTTTCTTAAATAGCTCATATAATGCCTGTACTTCATCTACTGTAACTGCAAGAGAATAGTATGCCAATTATCAAAAGTGTTGGAATTAACATTCATGGAGATAGGAAAATAATCAAAAGGTCAACTAAGTGGAGCTTGAAATTAGCGTTACACAATTTTGCAATACAATTCAATAGAGCCTATAAATAAGGTGATCAGACGCCTAAAGTAGGCTATACAGTGACATAAAACACAACTTTTCTAAGTATGAAACCAGGCAAATTATGAGAAAAATGCACACTTACAAGGCGTCTCAGCAGCAAGTACAGTAGGTTCCTCATAGCCAGGGACATTCCTGGCGTTTTTCGAGTATAAGCACCCCATCAAGATCCTAGCTTCTAAGGTCTACTTCACACAAATATTTCATTCTATAGATAATCCTGCAAACAAGAATTGAAAAAGTAAAGCAACTCTGCTGTTAAAATTAGTAGATGAACAAATCGTTCAGCTTTAACGAGAGTTTAAGAGTTCAATCTCATCACATAAACATAGTCAGCACACGCAGGAGAGGGCAGGTTAAGAGTGTTCAAACTCTCCAGAATTGCTCAAGCATCTAGATGAGGTGATCATTCAACGTTTATTAGCAACTGCAAATGAACAATCTACTGATACACCTTCTTGTTTTCAAAGACATTCTATCAAAGAAATTGATAACCAAAGTTATGACTACAGGGAAATGCAAATTAGTAGTAGTTTCTTACAGTAGGCCTTTTCTTCTGCTCGGCTGTCATAAACCGTCATTTGACCATCTACCGAATTGAAAACAATTGGTTAAAAAAATAATAATAAATACACACACACACACACAGAGGATTGGTTTATAAGCCAAACATGCAATATTAAAAAAAAGAATAAAGATGATAAAAGGCCTAAACTTTGAAGTCCGACCGTGGAATAGGCCGATAGCCACTATTTTACTTGTATACTTTCCAATTCAAGCCGCACCTTCTCGTTGACCTTTTGGTGAATGAATTAAAGCATGCTACAGTTCCAGGGGTCCAGCTCAATAGAATTTTAATTCATTCCGAGAGCACAGTAGTCCGACCCAAAAAAGTGGTAGAAGTAATTTCACATCCGGCAAACAGGGCACAAGGGAAAAGATCATAATCTTGACAGATCAAACACAGTATAAAGTGGAGGAGGGGATGTGTTATGTACATTAAAAAAGGGGGTTGGGTTGGGGGGGGGGGTTCATTCACCAATTTGGTTCTTAAATTTTTTCATTAAAATCAATTTTGTCCTTAATAGTTTTTTTTAACCAATGTAGTCCTCGAATTATATTTGCCAATGTAGGACTTTTACGGTGGAATGATCACATTTTATCTCTGTAGGACGACAAGCCAAGGGTATTTTGGCCAAGAAAAGGTTAGATGCTGCAGTATAAGAAATCCTATATAAAAAATAAAGAAAAATAAAAACATTCAAGTAAGCTGGGGAGAAACCCACTTTCTATATTATTCTCTATCTCACTTTTTATTATATTATTATTTCTCATTCATAAACATCATGTTTTATTTCTATTTTGTTTCCTTAAGATGCAATAACTATTATTTGAGTAAAAAAATATATGCAACAACCTCAAAAAAATAATATATAACAGAAAATTAAAAAATACAGCAAAAAAGCAATGTATAATAGAAAATTGAAAAATACAGCAAAAAATTTATAAAAAATGTCATTTTTTATGCATTTTGATTTTTTGAGTTTGTTTAAATTTTGTATGTTACTTAGTTAATAGCTATTTGATCTTAAGAAAACAAAAGAAATAAAACATAATATTTATAAAGAAAAAATAGTAATATAATAAAAAGTATAACAGATGAGATGAGAGCACAGAGAATATTACTGAAGATCCGTTGCCCGAGAACAACCAATTTTTCATTAAAGTGGGACACAAAATAAAAATTGGCAAAAAACAAAACCCATCTCCCGCACATCAAGCACTCTTCTATCAGGACACTCCATCACCGCACAAAACTAGAAGCAGCTACAGTAGAAGGAGCATCTACGCCCATTTCTGCAGCGACGGCCCTGCTCAAATGCAACACACCAAGAAAGATGGAAGGGAGGCCATTTTGCTTTTGGATTCTAAAAATTGTGGAGTGTTGTGGAGATATTCCAATGCAGAAGGACTTCAACCCAACTCCATCACTTTAATTTCACTAAAATTCTCTCCGAGCTTCTCCTTTCAAAATAAAAAAAGGAAAGAAAAAGGAACGAAACACAACAGAACACAAATTTGAAAGAAAAAAATGCAGATAATAGGATGAAAAGCATATCAACACTGACCGTCATCAAATAAGTATCCTATTATGTGAGAAAGATTGAACTTTTGATTGGATTGAAACATCTGGCCTAGGGTAGATTATACCCCAATTGCTCAGAAGATGAATATGTAAATAAATGCCCTCCACCTGCTTGTGAAAAATGCCAGAATGCAAAATTGATAACGAAATGCGATTATGTGTATGTAATAAGTATTGTATGACATGGGGAGCCGTCTTCTATTTTAGTTTTTGCCGCCGTCGCACCGGCAAAGACTAACAACTTGCAAGAAAAATATATACATCTTCCATCAAAATTTATGTTCCTTTATTTCTTGCTGTTTTGGTTTTAAATGGCACCCGTATGAGTACGTAGTTTCTGCGTGCTTGGATGTGATTGAGTGGGGAAATTCCAGAAAATCTACTGCCGGAAGTAAAGATCAGATCAGTCGGAAGGGGAATGACATAAGTAGACACGTCACCAATAATGAAGCTTTAGTTTTTTCTCCCCAACATATAGTTGAACATTTTTATTTATCTTTTTTATTTTTATACGAGAGTTGACTTGTGGTTCCTATGTTGCCCTTGATATTTGTCGGAAAAATTGAAATGGATGGTGCCACCGAAAAGGATATGACTGGATAGTAAATAGTAAAACTTAAAGGACTACAATGGTAAAAAAAAATATCAAGGATGAAATTAGTTTTAGTGAAAAAGTTCAAGGATGAACATGGTGAATTTCCCAAAATATCAACCAAAAACGTATGCAAATCTGTTCCTTACGGATATGGAGTAAAATATAATGAGTAGGAAGGAACCAGCGATGAGAAATAAAGCATCACAACTTGCCAGTTGCTACGCAATAGAAGACTTGAAAAAATCGAGTTAACTGATGCACTTTCCGATGATTACGTATTTCTCAGTTAGTCAGAACAGTTCCCCTCAAGAAAAACTCGTCCATCGGAACAACTGATCCCAGGGGAGCAGCATTCTCGCCTCAAAAAATGCTGTCTTAGAAGTCCACTAAGAGTAAGAGAAAGAAGAACTGGATTCCTGTTTTTTTTTTGTTTTTTTGTGGTGGGTGGGGAGGGAAAGAGAGAGAGCGTGAAAATTTTGAGATTGAAAAAAGTCCTAGGCATGAATTCATCATGACGGTCAGCTCTTAAATTCACTGCTCCTGTTTCTCTTGCATAGTGACTTAATGGGCATGAATTACATATATGAATGGGCCCGAACATGCAAAGAAAACGTAGAGATGAACTCAAATTTCGAAACCCCGATGAGGCGAATGACATTCAAGAATTAAAAGCCCCAACTTAGATTGAAGTTCAAAATCGTTCAGATCCCAGAGATCAGGGACCCAGAAAAAATACAAGTAATTGAGGAACTATGCAATATGCGTATAGAAAGGAAGACTATCTAAATGAAAGATTAGAACGTACCTGAAGTTGGAGGAGGGAGCAGGAACTACCGAACCCAGGGAGCAGAGAAAGGACCTTGGGAAGGCTGCTTAGTTTGATGTTTTGTGAGTAGGAGCAAGTTGTGTGGGGGCTTGTTTACACTTTACAGTATATGCTGAACCAACCAAAAAATTTAAAAAAAAAAAAATGCATCGTCCAACAATTTGACAAAGAGCAGTAGCATACAGAGCCAGGAGGAGGACACAAGTTACCATTACAGATGATTTATTAATTATTAGGGATCATTTCATAAACAATTGCACCTACTTCTCTTAAGGTTTAAAAAATTACACTTACCTCCCATAAGTTTACCATTTTGGTAACAAAGACTATTTCATGATCAAAATTTCAAATTAATAACCCAAAATACCCTTATCAAAATTGTAAAGTTCATTTTACTTTCTTATAAAATTATTTAAAAACTATGGAACATACATAAAATCTCAAATTCATTTTTAACCCTCGTCTCTACTATTTTAAATATTTCATATTATGACATCTCAAATTGAACTCTCAATTCATAAATTCTAAAATCTCAATTGAAATTAGAAAAAAAAACACTATTAAATTTAAAAAATTTCAATTACTACATTAATACACCATCCTATCCCTAAAAAATTGGAGTACTAATACCGGTCCTATTCTTTTTAAACCTAACTTATATCTTCTTCTATTCAGCGCCAGATGCTCCAAGCAAAGCTAAAATTAATTTGTAATATGTTATAATTGTGTTTAGGACATAATCGACTATTCAACGAGTGAACTTTATTTTTATTTTCATTAAATATCTAATTGTGTGATGCATTCCTATGAACAAGATTAAGAGTAGATTATTTAATTGGATGAAAATTATTAATATGTTAAGGCTATTATGATCATTTTCTATGACTAATGGAGGTAAGTGTATCATTAAAAATCTTAAGGGCATTAAGTGAAATTGTTAAAAATCTCGAGGGAGGTTTCTACAATTATCCCTAATTATTAACCAAAAGATGCAGGATTATTATTATTTTACCTCCTTAATATTTGGTGCCACTATCAATTTCCCCTTTAACGTTATTTTTTAGTCACTTTACCCCCAAAACTAACGGTCAAATTTAACGGAGTTTGTTAATTAAAATGAAAAAACATGTTTAACCCTTAAAATTATTATCACTTTACCCCCATAAACTATAGTCTCATTATCAATTTACCCCCTAAAATTATTTTTTAGACAATTTATCCTACCATTAAACCAACTTAGCAAGTTAAAAAAATTTTAGAAAAAAAACCCTCCTCTTTGCATAAAAATAATAATAAAAAATTTAGAGTGGTTCTTCTCCTTTTTAGTATCAAGAAAAAAAGTCAAAGTATTAATTCCTTTTTTCTTGACAATCTTATTAATATTGAAAAAAATAGAGAGATAGAGAGGGGAGGGGGAGAGAGAGAGAGCTCAATTCTTTTTTTAAAAATTACAAATAAGAAATAATTAAATATTAAAATTATTTCACTTTTCTGTTTATTACCAAATTTCAATTCTAATCCCGACAACCTTAAAGTAATAAGATAATGTTAGACTTTTTTATTTTCTTTCTTTGCAAAATCTAATTTTTTGTCTCCTTCTTTCCTTTCTCTTTTTTTCCTAATATTAATAAGTATAAAAAAAAATTTTGAAAAAAAATTCTTTTATTTTTATTTTTTTGATCTTTTAAATTGAAAAAAAAGAAAGAATAATCATTCCAACTTTTTTATTTTTAATTATATATATAAAAAGGGTAAATATATTTAAAATTTTTTTACCATACTAGTTAAATTGACGATGAGGTAAAATGCCTGTAAAATAATGTTAGAAACTAAAGTGATTGTATCACTATAATCTAAACGAATAAAGTGATAATAACAATGTAGTAATGCTATAAAATAAAAGGGTATTTTTGTCCAAAATTTCTTAACATGTTGAGTTGAATTACTTATGAGGGTGAAGTGACTAAAAGATAACGTTAGTGGATAAATTGATAGTAGTGATATAGTTTAAGGGGGTAAAGTGATAATAATCCAAAGCTGCACCTGCACTTGCACTTTTTCTTTTTCTTTTTTTTTTTTTGTCAAAATATAGCTGCACCTGCACTCTTGACCTTTTCTAAACAGAAGTCTAGAAATTCGACTTTTATAAACCTAATCCGGAAGAAATCTCAAAAGCTGCACCTGCACTCGGAGAGTTTACTTTTGCATCCGTCTCCGTCAAATATTGGCCCCATTTTACAGAAACAGTTCCCAAGCAGACTTTGCTCTTCAGTTTACAATATACCATCGTCAATTCTATGGTGCAGAATCAACTCCTTATAGGGAGATAAAACGTGAAGCTACAACGAGACAATCACTGAAATTAAGGCGTCTTTTGTAGTTGACCCTATGAACTAGTCTATATATTGGCAACCGGCTGTGTCAGTCTGAAAGGGAATGGCTGGACGGCCTGCGGTGCTATCAAATCTTGGTGGTCTTGTGGTCCACAATACTCCGCATAAATACGCACCAATGGGGTGAAATGGGAGGACCAAGGAGCATAAATAAATCCAGGGTTACAGAAAATTTTTCATAGTTCCTCAAAATATTAAAAATTAGTGCTTATATTCTCGTAAAATTAAACCTTGCCACCAGGATTTTTTGAATCGTTTTATATCCTCTTGAAATGTTCCTTATGAATATTTGACTTTACGTGAAATCTTTTATAAAAATGAGGATGCCTCTTCATGACTTTTTTACTAATTTTGCCTCCTCAAACATACATAAATCTTTTCTACTACCAACTATATATACAGATACAAAAATTTAAGTAAGCATTATTAAAATTGTTAAACATCAAGTAAATAGTTCAATATGGTATTCAGTGTTCGATTATCTATATCATTTTTAAAAAAGTAGGATAGCTAAATATCGAAAGTACAAAAAAATGCTCCGAATTATATATTTAATTATGGAACACTTGTTATAAAATTAATAAACAAGTGAAGAAAATTATGATAATAGATTGTAACTAATATTTATGGAAATTTGTACTCAAGCTTAATTGTTACTTGTTGCCAAAAATAATGCATCAAAATGTAAAAACATATTACTGTATGTTATTACATTTAAATGTGCAATTGTATAAAATCAAGTTCAAAATAGTACACTACTAAAAAAACTTGAACTTGAATTCTAGGTTGTTGAGTTGTTGAAAGTTGAGTTGCAATTTGAATCAAACTTATTTTACCTTTCTTTCCTGAGTTCAATCAGATAGAGCATAATCAAGCTCAATTAATTCAACTTAATCAACTCAATCAAGTTTCATCAAGCTCAATTCAAATCAATTGAGTTTAGTCGACCCCAATCAAGTTTAAGTAATATAAACTAATATTTTATATATTTTTAAACAAAGGACATGATAGATATTTTATATCAATGAATATAATATTTTATATATTGTGTAAGAATCGAAAACAACTTAAAAGGGGGTGAATTAAGTTGATTAAAATCCTAATTAAGTCATGGGCACTTTTTGTTCAATATGAAATTTACCATCTTTTCTAAGTGATCACACAATGAATCAATTAATGAATGAACAAAATCACTTGAGAGAAGTAGAAGAGATAAGCAATGTAAAGATCACAAACGTAATAATAAGTAAATAAAAAGGAAAGAATTGCAAATCAATTAACTACCCAACTCCTCTTGAGCTTGTAAATTAATTCAAACAAGCTTCTTTAAATTGATGAATTACAATCACTCTTGTGTACAAATGAAGGTTCACCTCCTCCTTGCCCCGAACTCCACTCGGTCAAATTAGAAAGTTTTACTATCCCTCAGGACAAATCTCACAGAATTATACTCATGAAATATTTACTCACAAGTGAAAAGTTTACAATGAATTTCACACCACTAAGACTACAAATCTTTCTTGGAGAGTGTTTTCTCACTAAAATTAAAAACTACTCTAAATCTTTTGTATTTTCAGTGTGCAAAAATTATTTGAAATTTCTAATCATGCTCTATTTATAGGAGACAAAGAAAGTGCTTCATTAATGCTTCAAACGGATAGAAAGTAGCTGAAAAGTCAACTAGCCGTTGGAGTATCGGACGTCCGGTAGTCTGGTTTCTTGCGTCTGACAGTAGGCAGTGAGTTTGAAAAATCTTCTTCAATTCTATCGGACGTCCGGTGCTTGCGTCCGAAAGCAGACAATGAGTTAGAAGGAATATCTCAATTCTATCGGACGTCCGGTATTGTCTTTGTAAGCGTCGGACAGATTTCGTCAAATTTGAACGATCCTATCGGAAGTCCGATACTTGCGTCCGATTGAAATTAGTGAGTTAGGGGGAATGTCTTATTTCCTTCAGACGTCCGAACCAAGCGTTCGACAGCTTTCAGCAGCTTTTATCCCTTTCATTTGCACTTGATCTTTGAATCTGATTTGCTTCATAACTGAAAATATTTCTTGAAAAGATATTAGTATTATCCATTGTTTTGTAAACATCAAAATATAGGGATCAAGATCAACATATTGAAGCGCAATTGAGCTTGTTTATATTCGATGAATTTTTGGGACTCACGTATTAGATTTAAACTCGAGCTTTTCAAGTTGTTCGATCTATTTAAACTCGGTCAATAGGAACTTAAGCTCACGAGTAATTCTATCGAGTTCAGTTTATTTACACCCTTAATTACACCTAAAATGCCTATCATATTTTTAAAAATTTTATGTTACCAAGTGCAAAACCACTATAACCTTTTTTTTATAATAGATAAAAATTAATATCACGGGTAGTTAAAGAAACTATTCTAGTAAAAGTACATAGTGCGAAGTTTCACTCAGTTTGCTTCACATTACATGTTGTAGAAATACATTTATATTTGGTATGAAAAATGAATAATCAATGATGCAATAATGGGGCAGTTAGAATAAAATTTTAATTTTGGATATAAGTAGGTATGTCAATGAATCAAATCTTATCTAGATTCAATTTAGACCCAATATACTTGGATAAATTTTGGGTTTAATTTCTCAAATTCAAATTCTATCCAAATTCATACCCTATTAGAGAGTCATGGGTTTGGTATAATCTAAGTTTTTACGATCCATACCTAAATACAGATGTAAACTAGATCATACACAGATTCGTGTATAAATTATACACACACACGCATACGTTAATACACATATACATACATATATACAGTCTAATATTCTA